AAAAAACAAAACAAAAAACACAACACCACTTATATTAGCAACCCAAAAAATGAAATATTTGTGTAAATCTAACAAAATAGTTCCCTGACTTTGAAGCTCCTTACCCACATCCAGAGATGAGTCTATTTCCTTAAACCCTGAGTCTGGGTTGGCTTTATAACTCGCTTTGGCCAATGGTATGTGACAGAAGTGACAATGGGTTAGCCTTGAAACTGTGCACAAGAGACTTTGCTTGGTCACACCCACTCTTGTGGGACCTGCCCATAAAGAAGCCCTGGCTAGCCCACTGGAGAGTGAGAAACTCCGTGCAGTAGACACAATGCATCCTAGCTAACCAGATGGCTGGCTACAGACAGGTGAGCCAGCCCAGCCAAATCAGCTGAGCTCTTCTAGAATTAAAGAACCACTCAGCCAACCACAGATTCAATCCAGAATGGAAAAAAAACAGAAAACTTTTTTAGACATTTAACAACTTGTCACAGGAAATAAAACAAAAATAACATTGCAATTTATTCACACAGATTTGATAGAGATAATTATGAGACCAATAAAAACTTTCAAGCATCTATACTAATAAAAGCCTAGGTGGTCCTCGTGCCCTCACACGACACCCTCATGTCATCACAAGATGGCTGCCACAAGATGGCCAGCAGGGGAAGGCAGTTGGGGGTGAACAGGCCTGCAGGGGAGGGCAGTTGGGGGTGATCAGGCTGGCAGGAAGAAGCAGTTAGGGGCAAACAGGCAGGCAGGCAGGCAAGCGGTTAGGAGCCAGCAGATCCGGATTGTGAGGGGGATGTTCCAGATTGGAGAGGGTGCATGCCAGGCTGAGGGACACCGCCTGCCCCATGCACGAATTTTGTGCACTGGGCCTCTAGTAAATATATATTACATTAGGCTCTGGCCAATGTGGCTCAGTTGGTTGAGCATTGTACTCTGCACCAAAATATTGCTGGTTTGATTCCCAGTCAGGACAGATGCCCATTTACAGATTTGTTCCCTGGTCAGGGTGCATGCAGGAGGCAACTAATTGATATTTCTCTCTCACATTTATGTTTCTCTCTCTCTCTCTCTTTCTCTCTCCCTTCCTCTCTCTCTAAAAATATCAATAAAATATAAAAATATATATAAGACAAAAATCTGTGGAGAAATAGAATAGAAATAGGAATTCAAGGGAAAAAAAGGAAGATGGAAAATGTCTGAATGCTAAGAACTGTTCATGTAATTTCAAATAAGTATCAAATCATTAGAGCATTTAAATTTCATTGGGCCAATATTTTAAAGTCATATTTTTAAATGTCAACATTTTACAATATGCCCAAAGTTACATACTTAGCAACTATTTAAATTTATGAAAAAAAATTTTAGATGTTGAATTATAAATGTTGGAAGGGAGGTTCAAAATTCCTATAGGACAGTGGTTGGCAAACTGCAGCCCCTTGAGTGTGGCTCTTCCACAAAATACCACGTGCAGGTGCGCATGTACAGTGCGATTGAAACTTTGTGGCCACACTCAAGGTGCCAAAGAGCCGCATGTGGCTCGCAAGCCACAGTTTGCAGACCACCGCTATAGGAGATATACAAGCTAAAATTCTTAAAAACTGCTATTCTAGAAAACCCACTCATGTAGTCCTTATTTAATAGGTAAAATATGATGTATCTATGGTGTATTGCATATGGGTCTCTGTGTAAATGTGTAAATATCCTATCTAATAAAGAGGGGATATGCTAATTGACCCTCACACCGTCACAAAGATGGCAGCACCCACAGCCAATGGAGGGAATATGCTAATTGACTGCCCCACCCTCAAAGATGGCAGCGCCCACAGCCACAAGATGGCCAGCAGGGAAGGGCAGTTGTGGGAAATCAGGCCAGCAAGGGAGGGCAGTTAGGGGCAACCAAGCCAGCAGGAGAGGGCAGTTAGATGTGACCAGTCTGGCAGGGGAGGGCAGTTAGGGGTGACTGGGCTGGCAGGGGAGGGCAGTTGGGGGCAACAGGGCCTACAAGGGAGGGTAGTTGAGGGTGACCGGGCCAGCAGGGAAGCAGTTAAGCGTCGATCAGGCTGGCAGGGGGTGGTTAGGGGATGATCAGGCTGACAGGCAGAAGCAGTTAAGGGCAATCAGGCAGGCAGGTAGGCAAGTGGTTGGGAGCCAGCAGTCCTGGATTATGAGAGAGATTATCCCCCGGATTAATCCCCGGATTATCCCCCAAGGAGTCCCAGATTGGAGTGGGTGCAGGCTAGGCTGAGGGACATCCCTGCCCCCAGTGCACAAATTTCATGCACCAGGCCTCTAGTAAGCTTATATACTAGTACATTCTTATGTATGGATGCATATAGATTTATATTGGTGTGTAATTTTATTCAGAGCTATGTATTTTAATTTAAATGTATAATTTCTCTTTGGCAAGCCAGCCATACCTTTTTGTTTTCTTGAAGAGAGAAGGAATGATGCCTGGTCAAGGAAACTGAGGAAAGGGGAGAGCCTAGGACAGGGGTCGGCAACCTTTTTGTGAGTGAGTGCCAAAACCAGCAAAATCTCTGACTCAAAATTCTTCTGCATGCCAACCCTAATTTTTTGATAACATATTATGCCTACTTGATATCTCTTAAGGTGTACATATGTGAAGAACCTTGAAGAAATAATAAAATTCATTCAAGCGACAAAAACACAGTATATGATGGTGAAAAATACATTTATTTTTTAATGTACACTGATAGTCTGACAGAAAACTTTATGACTCCGTTTGATATTATCAGTGGGACTTTTGCTTCTGCATCACTGATGACAGAGATTTTACATCAGGTTTATATTTCGTGACCTTCAGAGATATGCACAAGCTACTACTTCCATCCATCAGGCTACTCCTATTATCAGACTTAACAAAATTCATCATTGAGAACAGATTCACAAGTATGTGGATGAAACCAAAATACTGGTCGGATCTAGGAAGGAAGGGAAGTTAAGGCAGAGACATAGAAATTACTCTTCCCCTCTCTTGTCAATCCATGTCTATGGTCTTTAAGATAACTTGTTATGTAAAATTATTTATTTATCTAAGATGCACCTACACTGAATTTATCTGAAAAATAAAAAAGTTAATATTAAGAAAAAAATTGTAAACGGAAGATTATAAGAGACGGTTTCGCGTGCCAGCAAAAGTTACTGGCGTGCCATGTTTGGCACCCGTGCCAGGGGTTGCCCACCCCTGGCCTAGGACCCCAGCTGAGAAACAAAGCAGGTTACAGAAAGGAAGGGCATGTTTCCTTCAGAAGATGCTGACTGGCTGGATGCCTATGAGAGAGATCTCAGATAGTCATAGCATCAGGCAACCCATGGTAGTTGTATATGGTGGTGAGCAAGACTGACAGAATCCCATACTCTTAAGGAATTTATATTCCAGTAGGTGTTCAGAAATAAGAAACAGAGACACACAAACAGTTCTGGAAGCCTGGCCAGAGGGACCCTAGATTAAAGTTAGGGAGGACTTTGTTCTCGGATGTTACTGTTACCTATTTAATGCCTCTAAACCCTGTACATGTTGTTCTTCCTGCTGAAAAATGTTCTTTTTTTATTATTACTATTATTACATTTCATTTATTGGAATAGATATATTTACATGGATTTTAAATCAAAATGATAATGATTGGGAAGGCCTGCTCCCACCCTGATCAGTCTTCTCCTTTCCCACTCCCCACCCCACACCCTACTGAAGGTGATCATTTTTATATTTTCTGTTTATCTTTCCTGCAAATACAAGTGAATATGGATATATACACTATCTCCCTGACCCCTTTTCTTACACACAACACAGGCAACTATATATGCTCACTTCTCCTTGCTTTGTTTGTTTGTTTGTTTGTTTGTTTGTTTGTTTAACAATACTTTTTGGAAAGCTTATCCTATCAGTGAGCAGACTTCATCCCCTTTCTCTCTCCAGCTGTATAGCATTCCACCACCGCATGTCCCTGAATTACCCAGCCCTCTATAGATAGACACGTGGGTTCTAAACCTCTGCTACCACAGTGATGCTGCCATGAATAACTATATGTATATCTTTGCATACATGTGCAGACGCCTCTGGGGGTTAAATTCCCAGAAGTGCTGCCCCGCCTTTTCTTCCTGGAAAACTCTTACTCACCTCTGACACCCACGGCCTGTAGAGCCAGACATACTAGTAAGAAGAGGCATGGAAGAGCCACAAGAAGAGGTCTGCCTTCTCTATGGAGCTGGGAGCATCTGGAGGGTGTGGATCTCTCATTGGCATTTGACCCTGTATTCCAATGAATAAATAAATGAAAGAATAGATGGTGTTCAAACTTAGGTTTCTTAAGAAACTCAGAGAGGCAACCCCTCACAGAGAATTGTGCTCTTTCTCCGGGTACCAATTACTATTTATGATGAACTCTACATTTGTATACAATCAAAAAATTAATAACCAGAACAATGAAGGGATTCAGAACATACAGCAAATCCCAATGTCCCACTTTTTATATGCAACTCACTCCGCAATCTCATTCTTCAAAGAGAATTAAGAAAAGTCTTGAGTAGGGGTGCATAAACTACATTTTGACTGTTCTGATGCTGATTTCATTTCTCTTTAGGGCATTAATGGAAGTCATCAAATGAGCAAGTAAATAAGGGAGAAGACAGTTAGAACAACTTTATAGCTGCCTCAGTGTATGGAGAGGCAAAGTACAAGCAAATAAACATGTGGAGTAAGCACTGTTCCATGTTCTTACGTGTATTCTCTCCTTTAATCCTCTCCAAAAACAAATGAAAGTTGCCCAGTTGTTACTATTTATCTTTTTAAAGGTCTTGCACACTTATTACTGAACAATCCTACTACTGCAGAAAAAAATCAACAGAGCAAGATCATGACTCCAATAATTTTCCAATTAAAGTTCCCCAACTGTCCAGACAGTTGATCTTTTCAATCATTTAAAGGTGCAGGCAACCTGGATACAGCATAAATATGTGAGCCATCTCTCATGTGTGAACCCTCATAGACCCAGTTTGGTTCTCCAATGTCTCCTCTTTGAGTTGTACCTGATTTCATTACCAGTTTTCATTCGAATCCATTGGGGAATGGGCCAATTCTGCTTTTGTTTCTTGGCCAGGAACCTCTTAATCCTCAAAGTCTTGTGGAAAGACATGGCGAAGGAGAAGCAAACACATCTCGATGGCGGAGCCAATTATTAATATTATTATAAGTTTGGAAACTGAGGTTCAGAGGGGTTAAGAAACTTGTCCAAGGGCACATAGCCAGCAAGTAGTAGAACTGGAATTTGAAGCAAAGCAATACAACTGGAGACTCTATGTCCTTCATTTCAGTGCTGTTCCTTCATGTGTGCATGCATGTGTGTATTTTCCATGGCATAGTAGTTATGAATGTGCTCATCTTTATTTCAGAAAACCTCAAATAACTATGGTTTGTTACAAATACAAGTTTATATTTCTCTAGCATAAATGAAGAATAATGGTAAGCAGTCTATTATATTAATGTCCACAGTCATCAGGAACCCAGGCTCCTTATCAACATAGAGCTTCTACCTCATAGCCCAAAATGGCTACTGAGCTCCAGCCACCACATCCACATTCCTGCCTAGAGCAAGGAGGCAGGGGAAGTAAGGGTATATCCCCTATCTTTACTACTACGTTTCAGAAGTTGAACATGATACTTCTACTTTTAGTTCATTGGTCACAATTTTACCCCCTAGCCACACCTAGTTCCAAGGAAGGATGGGGAAAATAGACCTTGTTCTATAAAAGCATGCTAAAAATATTGAGTTGTTTTTGTGTGTTTTTTACTAAGAAAGAAGTGAAAAATGGATACTAAGGAATAACTAGCAGATCCTACCACACTCAGTAATAGAGAAGCATAAATGCATGACATCTCAAGGTGAAAAGGGATTTTAAATTTTTCTAGTAAAGTGCTGATCTAATGCTTAAGCATTTGTGCCCATTGGTTGTCTCCTCCCCCGCTTCATAAAAAGAGGCCTGAAGCTACCCCACCTCATGTTTAGTCAATGTTTCTATCAGTTGAACTAACATTCACTTAACCCTATTTTAACCCATTAAAGCCATTCAGAATAATTCTCAAACCCAAGCCCTCCTGCCCTAATAATTCAGATATTTGAATCCCCACCCCCAAAATGTTTCCAATCACCCACTGTGCTTGCAAATATACCTCTTCTGTCATCCTCCCAGTGAGCTCACAGCACCCTTCAGGTGTCTTACCCAGGATTGGACATGAAGTCCTGGGAGCGGCCTTGCACAGTCAGGAGGGGATTACACCTCTCAGATTATAGGTGTCTGCTTACATACTTCTAGAAGGGCTTCTCAGCTTGCTTTAGGATTCTTAACAATTGCTCCACACTTTTAACTCAGTTAGTCTTTACCATCTACTAAAGCTACATATCCCCAATTCAATTTTTTTTACAGTTTATTTTCTGGCTTTGACATAGAACCATAAGAGGCTTTCTATTTTACCTTCTCCTATGTATAGGGCCTCTTGGCTTGAACTTACAAAAACCCCGAGTCTATCAATCAACAGATCATCTATCCCTCCCACCTCCATCGGCAATTTTGGCAATAACTCTCTCTGTACCTTCATTTATGCCACTGAGCAGATCATCCCACAGAGCAAGGCCAAGGCCAATGCAGTGTGCTACACCCTGAAATTCTCCCTCCAGGTGACATTGATCCATTAAGCAGCCCTTTCTGCGGCAACAGGGAAAACTGGTTTAGATGTGTGTTGCTGCCATAGCGACGTCTAAGCAGGCAGCTAAGAGCCCCAGGGACTTGGCTGTTGGCAGCATCTGTTGCCAGAGCTTTCCTTCAACAGTGAGAAGACTTCCCAACCCCTCAGGAGCCAGGACCTGGCTGTTGGGAGATAACCTTCACTCTCACATTCACTCATTCATCTTTCATTTGTAAAACATATTTTGAGGTTTTCCACGAGCCAGAATGCCACGTCCTATGAATAAAGGTCAACAAGACACAATGCCTGCTCTCAAGGAGTTCGTCTAATGGGGAGTAATGTCACAACCAGTTTGACCCTATTAAAACGCGTCAGGTCACACCACTCCTCTGTTCAATACTCTGCAGTGGCTCCCAAGCCCCTCAGAGTAAAGGCCTGGGTCCTTCCCATGGCCCCCACAGCCCCACACGTCTACCCTCCCCGCATTTCCCCCCTAACATCCTCCTCCCTTCTTCATTCTCTCCCCTCCAGCCACCCTGGCCTCATTTTCAAACACACCAGATGGGTGTGTTCCTGCCATCGCATTGCTGTCTAAAATGCTCTCTCCCCAATATTGGCATGGCTCCCTGCCACCCCTCCTTCAAGCCTTTACGAAAAATCACCTCCTCAGTGAGGCCTTCCCGAAAATGTCAACCGTCCCAGTGTGTTCCATATCCTCCTTCCTGGTTTACTTTTCCTCCTTAGCACATCCTGCTCTCTAATATTCTCTGTCCTGCTTTGTCATCTTGTTTGTTTTCTATTTTCCCCACTAGCACGTAAGAGAGCAGCAGGGAGCTTTGGGTTTTTCTTGTTTCACCAACAGCTCTTAGATTAGTGGCTGACACATAGAATGGATGAAATGAATAGAACAATTTCAATATAACATGATACATCACATCAAGTGAGAATTCTGGGATGCCATGCAAGCACATAGAAAAGGCTCCTAACCCAGTCTTGGAAGTGACGAGGCTCTCCTGGGAACTGGAGAATGGGTCACAGCAGGCCAGGTAAGGAGCCAAGAGAAGGTCCTTCGACGTGGTTGGATGTGGCACAGTGGCCAAAGGACTGGAGCCAGAGGAAGAACCTGCAAACCATAAGGTGTTTAGAATCCACTCAGTGGACACGGGGAGTCAGGGGAGCAAAAGGGAAAGTGCCAGTCAGACTTTTACTTTAGAAAAGCCAGGGTGTGGGCAGGGAGGGGAGTCCGACTGGAGGTTGCAGTTGGTAGAATGGTTCAATAACCCATTGAAAGAGGACAAGGGCAGGAGCTAGCAAATGTTTTCTGTAAAGGGCCAGATAGTAAATATCAGGGCACATTAACTCTGCCATTGCAGCCAGAAAGTAGTCAGAGGGAGTATGCAAATGAAGGAACAGGGCTCTTTTCCCTTGAATGTGCTGAGACAATGCTTAAGAGGTAGAGCCCACATAACAGGCGAGGAATCTGCTTTGACAAAGGAAGAGGAGGGGGAAGGAGGACCCCAGTGGGCACTAGGGCACCTGGGAACCTGAAGCAACCAGCGCCCACACCCCAGAGTGGATGGAGGCTGACCTAGGAGAATATGTGTCCATTTGTTTCCAGTTTGAAACATCCCAGAAATCAGTGCAAAGCTGTGCACTGGTCTAGGGAAGAGCAGCTAAAACGGTGAGAGAGAAAGGGTCTCCTTGAATGGATCCGGGGCCTTGAGGGTAGGGATTGATGTCCTTGATGCCCTAGAGACACTGAGAGGCACTCTTTGACCTTTCTCTCCCTCCCAGCCTCCCCACCCCTATGCAGGCTCCTCCCCCACCTCCTTTGCCAGGTTCCCCCAGCGATTCCCAGTCTTCCCTTTCCCCTGAATCCTCTGGAAGACAGATGATGCTGGGAGAAGGTGGCTCAGTGAGCCTCACTGAGGATCAGAAGATAACAGTGTACCTGCATTTGGGGGTGGAGAAATTGCCAAAAGAACAGGCTGACCCTGGAGGTGCGCTGTGTAAGAGGGAGAAATAGGGCGCAGAGATCTTAGGTCTTCCGGGAGGTGAAGAGATGCCAAATTCTCTAACAGCTGTGCATACGACAAAAGGGTGAAAAATAATAAAGTACAGTAAGACAAGATGCCAAGTGAGCCAGCCAGTGGGCTCCGTGGCTGGCTCATTCCACAGCCGCGGGCTCCCTGCCCAGGCAGGCGGACGGGGCAGGAGGGTCTGCTCCCTGAGCACATTCCCAGCAGTGGCTCCTTTTCAACAGTTTTAAAGGTCATATGCTGACATGACAGTTGTGGAACTGTGGTGAAAACGCTCGCAGGAAGCATTGTGCAAGCGACTCTAGAGACCCACAGTCCCCACAGTCCCCACCGACCGAGCGGCCTTCACGTGGGCCTTCCCCGCCTTGCCAAGCTCGCTGTCAGCCCACCTGTGGGGCTTCCCATGCTGCCCTCAGGTGGGAGTCTGGGCAGAGATGCCTCAGGTGCTCTGTGAGGCCCCTGGACAGTGAGGCCGGCAGCCACCGCCTGGGAGCTTCTGGGAGCAGGTACCAGGACAGTGTGCATGGGCTCCTGACTTCTGTCCCACAGTCAGCCTGGGATTGCGCGAGCGAGCCGGCCCCAGCTGACCTTCCACTGCTGGCGACGCTGGGGAGAGCCCACAGCTCCCTGCAACAGCGTTTGAACATAAATGTGCACCACAGATTTTAAAACATGCTAGCGGAGGGTAAAACCAGACTCTCTGCTTGTTTTGGATCCATCTTCTGCTGTACAGGTTTCAAAAGGAGCCCAGATTCTGACCGAACAGGCCATTTTTCTGACTGAACAGACCATTTGCCTGAGCCCCATCTTCAGGACAACCCCACCCCCAGGCCCTCTCACCCTCTGAGCCTCTGCCCACCCTCCCACCAGTCCCCAGGCTTCCTCCTCCATCTCAGGGTTGCCCAGGGGCAGGCACAGAGCTCCTTTATGGACACACAAGCTCCAGTCCTGACAGCCAGAGGCCGCCTGTTTCCTCCGCCCTGTCCTACTCTCTGCATCTGTGAGCCTCCAGGGAAGGCTGGGAGCAGATCTAGGCAGGCGGGTCTCCTTCCAACATCTCAGGAAATGTTAGAACTTACATATCCTGCCCTGGACACACACACACACACACACACACACACACACACACACACACACACACACACACACAACACACAACACACACCCTCTTCTAGTTCTAACCGCAGGCCCCTCTCTGACTGCATTGGGAGGGGTTGGTCAAAGCCCAGATGCATTTCCCCCGGGAACTCTTTTTGCAGTCCTGCCGCCATGCCACACAACTCCCAGGGCCGTGCACAGCTTAGCACGCAGTGTCTTGGAGGTGGCAGTGCCCTAGCCTGGGGTTTTGTTTGTTTTGCTTATTCAAACTCTTCGCGCTTCCCATTAGCTGTCAGTAACTCATAAGAGCTCGGGT